GTGTCCACTCTCACACTCCAGTCACTCCCTAAGCCTGGTTAATATTCCAATGCCTCGGGTGTTTCTGCAGGCCAGTAAAACATTTGCAGCACACTCCACTACACATTATTCTCTTCCAAGTAAACCCATTAAAGACAATCGTTGGCTGCCAAAGCCCAGTTCCAGCCTCATATATAATTGATGAAAAATATGAAATTTTCAAGTTCACGGCCCCACGGATTCAATATTGCTTTTTCTTGTATTTCCATTAATCTTCCAGTTGCCTGAGCCAAATATATTGCAAATTATGGCTGCAATTCATTTATCTGCCAATCTTGGATGATGCTGAAAAGTGTTATTATCTCTTGATGGTGGGAGGAGGACGATCCCCAGATAATGATCTGTGGAGTGAGGGAGTTTCTCTCACAGAGGGATTCATTCTCCAGAACCTCATTCCCCAGCAGTAGGAGGAAATCGCCAGAGCACAAACACATACTGTATAGAGGAGGTATATTTCTCATAGAAATCCCCTCTGATCTTTACAAACTAATTCATTCATTACTAGCTGTTTTGGCTGCTAAGGGGTTTTTACTCATATTTCATACCATACATCTTATTGTATCTTGTTCCTTTACTGTAAATCCCTTCAGGGGTGTGGGATGAAACTCTATATTTTTTAAGATGACTGTTTTTCTTTTTTTTCTCAGAGTATAAAGCAGGTGTAGAGAGGGGGGAATTTAACTTTCTTTCTGTAAATATTTCTTAACACCAATGAATACATTTAACTTTTTAATGTTAACATTCAGTAAGAGAGCATGCAAGTCAAAGAAATGAGATACACAGATCTGCCTTTGTAAAAATCACTTTGGATATTAAAACCATAGCTTAAAAGCAACGAAAAAACTTATACACAAAAAGACTTTGGTATCTGCTGATTGGACTCTAAAAAGTCCATTGCCGTTCATTAGGAGAATAAGGGAGCATATATAACCCTGAACTTTTGTATAAAGTGCATTCAGTTCTACTGTAGATCTATGCCTGAATATACTGTATATTATCACATCCTTTACTCTGTGCTCCTCAGGAATAGTTTGAGACAGGATGTTGTCCATACTGTAGGTACAAGACTGGTAAGATTCCCCTTTCCTGTGTTTGCCTGGCAGTTGTACACTGGCCATGGGAGGAGGTTTCAAAGTTCAGGCTCTGAAGTCAGACATTACCTCTCGTGATGAGGGACAACACACTTTTAGATACAGTATGCAGACTGGAATCACTCACACTGATCATTAAACAATTTCAGGATGTCAAACTTTAATTCTGAAAAGAATACAGTATTCATACTGTACAGAATACTCACTTGAATATTCATTAAATCTAAGAGGATGCAATATGCCTAATGCACAAAAAGTATCAACGTCATATAAGTTTGCACTAACCATTTATAAACACAGAAACATGACTACAGAACTAAGAAGTATTCATATAATTGAATATATATAAATGTGTTCTCTCCTTTACCCCCTTCTACTATAATGTGCGTATTATAATAATGGAACAGCACAGCCCTACATACTGATAAATGCAGTATGTAGTTGCCCGTGTTTTGGTCATTCTGGGCAGAATTAAAGAAAAATGTAAATGAACAGGACTGCTGTTATTTAACTGCTGATTAAATAACAAATGTGGATCAAGTTATTCTGAACCTCTAATAGGGTGACCATATGACTCTGAAATGAAAATTGGTGCTTAATGCCCGTGCGCAGTAAGCATGTAACTCAGATCAGCTGTTCACTATAAAACCAGACCTGAAATGACTCTTTCAAAGAAATTAGTATGACTGTTCAGCTGTTCAGACAGTCTAATCATTGGCAGGGATAGTAAATAACATATTACATGTCTACAACACACAAGCATTAAGCCCCAATGTTTGTATCAGGAAAGGCACAATTTTTACAAAATAAGACTTTCAGGACAGCTTTGTTACACTGATGAACAGTGCCATGTGGTCACCTAGCCTTTAAGCATCCCAGTCAATAATATTTAACATTTCATATGCAAGACACAATGTAAGGTACTAACAATACTGTAGTTCAGGTTAGAAAACACTTCTGATAATTCTGCCACAGACTTTTGCCGTGATCTATCTCCAAAGCTAAACCTGATGGAAGCCTGTATATAAATTCAACTAAAATCTGACCAGTCTGTTTATTTTGGGTTTGTTCATTGTGTAAAAACCTACAGTATGCTGTTACAGCAGAAAAGCGTATTGCTATAATCTAATTTCCCTGGTCAGGAATATAAGCCCCTCATTCACATCAGAAACAAGATAAAAAAATATATTATGACTACTTTTAAATTACACAGTAGTGCATTGTGCCTCTAACTGCATACATGATGGGCACCACATATGTTTTACAGTCTCCCCTGATATTGTCTTATCCCTGTATGCACTGTACTGTACGTGTACGGAGCTCTCAGAATTGTCTGTGTGCCTTCAGAGAAGCTCGCAAACAGTTTGTGTAAAAGCTTACATCATACTTTTAAATTTTTTACAGCAGTAAATAAAGCCTCAACATCTGTGAACATTGAAAATGTGCCTTGCATGCTTAATTAACTTAATTCCACCAGCAGGCTGAATATGTTAATGTTTTGGGAGTTGTAAGCTCTGAAATGCATGAAGTAACTTTCTAATCAACCTGCATATTTACTACAGCCTATATGGTTTTATAATCTATGTTTAATGTAATCTCATAATTATAATGAATTAAAGATTCCATTGTTTCTTATATTCACTCAATTACTTCTTAATCATATGCAAGAATTTTTAAAACAATATAATTTTACTCCAGAGAAGACTATAATTTATGGAAGGGGAGCACCAGAAGGTCACTACAGACCATGCAAACTTTTCCACCAATGGGCTAATTCATTGTATAGTACTATCTTTAATTAAGTATGCAACGCCACTGCCAGTTAGTCTCTCTAGAGGACATCAAGGTTGCCCTAGAGCAAACATGCATTTTGAATATTTCAAATAAACTTCCTCAATACAGTTGCACTAGAATTTTAAGGGACATTAAGTACAGAAGTAAGGGCATTTAATCAGATATCATACCACCTTCCTCTCCATTCCAAGTATTGTCCTTGGCTCAATGATTTAGTCTTAAAGCATACCCTCACCCAAAGCAGCTCAGTGGCTTTACTATCTTTCAAGGGCAGCTAGACACATCCAAAAGCTACATCAAGCTCTTAATATGGTATAAATAAAAACACGGAACTGATATAGGAATATGAGATCTGCCCATCTTAGAATTCTTTCACTCACCACATCTTTTAAACACACAAATAACTGTGCTCCCTAAAGTGAGCTTTCAAGCCTAAATAGTGCATTGTTGATACTTTAAAAACCCTCACATTATCAATTGCAATAGCAGTATAATTTTAATATTTACATTCTTGTTTGCTTTTATTTCATTTTTGACTACATAATAGCAAATATGGAAAAACTATCTTGTGGTGTTACTCAGAGGGCTGCAGAAAAATCACTGTACAGTATGTAGTGTTTCATTTGTTATATTTAAATATGAACCAAATGTTTTTATCTGAAGCTTCAGGAAAAGAAGTGTACAAACCTGTGGCTTTCAGCTTGACTGGATGAGTCAGAGATGATGACTGCCTATGAGTGACATACATTCCTACTTCATACTGTGTGATACAGAACATGAGAGTATTTTACAGTACATCTCTTTTTACAGTCTATATATCAGAAGACAAAATCTCATATCACTGTCTTCCTCATGAGCTTGATAATGCATTCGGGACTCATGAGAGTGTGAATGTATGAATATTAAAGGGATAGACTTTTCCTTTCTAAAATTATTATCTAGAGAGAATGGGTTAGTTACAATGTGGAACAAAATCAAAGCAACAAATCATTCAGCTTCTACACACTCAACTAACTGTTCAGGACACAGTAGCTAAACTACTTATTTATGCCATTTTCTGGAGTGTGTGGATGATCCCAGTGTGTCCTGTCAAAACTGGAAATCTAGCTGACAAGAAATGCAATGCTGTCAATAGTACACTGTGTTATACAAGTGCTCTCTTTTTGCTTTGATGCACACACAAACTCAGAATAAAAATACCCAGAAAGGCAATTAGATTTGAATCGGGTCATCTTTTTTTTTCTATCTAAATTTACAGCCTCTTGAAAAGGCTCATTTATAACTCCTCTTAAATAATTCATGAGCTGCACAAATAAGCATGTTTTTGTTATTTAATGACATAGGACTATACTTTGTTGATAAATGCTTTGGTCTATTGGTACTAACAAGCATTTTATTCATTATAAGTTTCACAAAACAGGCTAGCTGCCTGTTTTCCTTATTTTAGATTATATCCTCAGCATAAAACAACATGCATTTTATTTTGGAAATACTTGCACTTGAAAAAAATTGGGATACATTAAATCCATAAATCCAAATTTAGTTCCAAATGGCTTTTGTTCTCAGCAAATAAAAATATAATAATTGTGCAATTAACCATCATGTATCTAGCACTTGAGAATTCACAGTATTCACATGAATTTGAAAATCATGTTCCCAAATGGGTTGTGTAATCAGGTCTATTATATGCAGATAAGAGTGAAAGTCCAAAATGTATTGATACATTGCCATAGAATAACATATACACACTCTTAGCAAGATATTCGAGTGTGCAAACACATCTCTTAAAACGATTACGACTGAGCAGTGTAATGGCCGTCCTTACCTACCAGAACTAGATATTTTCTCTTGAACTGCAGAAGATATGGAAACTGATCTACAACCGTGAAAAGTTTTTCCATGAAATTCAAACACCGGACAAGAATGAGAGCAACACTCAGGAAAACCCGCGTCGATTAACCCACTTAACAAGAGCGGACTATCTGAATTCTGACTTGCCATTGCAGGATGCAAAACCTGAACAGAAATCAGAATCAGTCTGGAGAAAGAGCACATTGGTGGACGGCAGAGTGTTACCTGTGACCAGGAAGCTGCACCTCCCCGCACCGGCCTCGTTAATGATGTCACAGGTGTACTCCCCGTAGCTCTCCCGCTGCAGGTTCCTCAAGATGTACTCGGTGTCATCCCGCGAGTCAAACTGGCTTGAGGTCAGCAGCCGGGAGCCCAGCCTCCACTCGTACTTGAGAACCCGAGAAGGGTAAGCGCGCAGCACCCTGCAGTTCATCACAATATTCCGGCTCAGGCCTTGACGGATCTCGGTGAACACCGGCTCCACGGTGGGGGGGTCTGAGGGGGGGAAACCACAGTTTAGAAAAGCCTGCTCTGCAGCCTCAACTGATAACAATGTATCACCTGACTCTCCCACTGCCTGTTCTTGAGCAAAGCTGATGAGCATTTCCCCCTATTTTTTACATTTCTGGAATAAGAAACATCTGTCCATCTGCCTAGATACCAATGATCATAAGGCATCTTCCACATTTAGAAAATCAGAATTCAACCCATTAAATACTGTAGATGAACTGAAAATCTTAAAAAGAAGCATTGCCCTCAATAGTATATTTAGTATAAGAATATGAGGAGGGTGTCAGTTGAGAGGAGGCCATTCTGTCTGTCTAGCCTCTTTGGTAGTTAGTAGTTAATTGACCTAAGAATCTGGTCCAGATATTTCTTGAAGCTTGTTCCATACTTTCACAACCCTTTGGGTAAAGAAGTACGCCCAATTCTCGCTTTTAGATGCACTTCCTGTATAAGTCGTTTCCTCTTGTGCTCTCTGCTTCATGTTTCACTGTTCATTTTTTCACTTTTTGTTCATTACAGATCCCATGCTTATGACACCATTTTTAAGATGCAGCTACAGTAGGATCGTGGAAAATATACTTTTGCAAAGCTTTAGTAAGAGCAGCCTGTATGAAAGATACACTAGAGTTTTAATGAAAGCAATGCTGAGAAATTAGAAGTTTCATTGCAGGCAATTTATAACTTCACATATCAGTGACTTTCATTTCATCTTCTGTCACGCAGAGTGCATGTATTTAGTCTACCTCACAGTGTGTGTTAAATGCATCCCTGTGTGATGTTCTGTAAAACATTTATGAAAACTTTTTTAACTTTATAGACTAAGTGGGAAAAGTAGCCTCTTTGTTATCCCATATGAAACGAGATCATGTTGTGCAAAATAAAGAAAGTAATTTCAAAGCCAAGTGTAAAAGCTTTGTGCCTCTCTTACTCAAGAACTCCATGTTCATAGCTCTTCCAAGTGGCACTATGCCATATGAACTAACTGTAGAACAACAGAACACATACTGCTCTTTCAGAAGACAGGTGCCGAGTACACATTCTAAGCGTTGAAATCAAAGCCGTGATGCACTCTCAGACAAAAGGCACCACACAGCCTTGACACATATCAACAACAAATCAGAAACAAGTTCCTGTGTGAGTTTCTATCAGGTTCAGAATGGCTCTTCACAGGCAAATTACCTGGACATTGCACAATCACTTTAACTGTAAAATTATAGGTTCTTGTATTCACATTGTGTTTTCTATCCTTGGTTTGGAGAAAAAAAACGGTATTTGAGCTCTGGATATTGGTATAACCTACAGGCGGGTCTATAAATTATCATATTTTGACATCTAGATATTTAAATAATACACAGTACTGTATATGCTGTATGTACTGTATTTTTTATCATTGTAAACCATAGTGTTAGCCAAATAAAATGATAAAATGAGTTGATATCAAACAGCATTTAAAGAGCATAAAACTTTTAAACACCTTCAAAAAGTCTCTTCAACTCTCTTTACTTTACTTCACTGTTAGACTCTGGGATACGTTTTCAATTCTGTTTTTCTTTAACACAAATACTTTGATGAATAGCAATGTAAGTCAGAATGCAATAAGCAAGTAACTTGTGCATTTGCTTTGTGTTGACATTTTAGCTTTCTCCAGTAGGGTAAAGGTATTATAAACAAAACTGACAAAATGTACCAGTCTAGCAGCTTTAATGTTGCTTACAAATCTGTGCCTTCTGAAGCATTAGTGCAGTTTAGCATTATAAAGCACTACTGCATCATAGCGATCCATATTTTAGCTTTAGATGTTACACTGTTATTTTAAAACCACCATTTATAGCCATTTTGCACCAAATTAAAATACAGTTGGTGCTTTTCAATACAAAAATGCATGAAATAATATGCGATTTGATCTTTTGCCAAGGATGTGTTCATGTGTCAGTTATTGCTTGCGGTACAAATTATACTCATGCAGCTTGTCTCGAGCTTTTATTTACAGCAACTGGGTTGGTTGACCTTTCCAAAGCGTTCAACATGGTTGATCATTCCATTCTGCTGTGTAAACTATTTATTACATTTGAGTCCAAAGTTACTACACTTGTATGCTAGAGTAAGGGATGTATTCTGTTGGGTTGGAGGCACAATATGACACATGCCTGGGGATGTTGATTTGGATGAAATGCTATTTTGTTAACGTGACAGTGATAAATGTGTTTAAAAAACTATACAAAGCATACAGTAGCACCATCTATTATTCTGCAGCTGAGGTAGTTCTTTATGCTGATGCGTTCCCAATCCAATATTTCTCTAAGCTAGAAACAGACACACACTGTTGGGAAAAAAAACAAAACAACAAAAAATCTGGACATCCAATCTTGAAATAAAGCTTAGGTGAAAAGCTGTTGTTATGATGCAAGGTCCGAAGCAGCTCTCACCTAGAATGTAGTGTTATATGCAAGAGTTCAATTAGATAGGAGAAAATGCACCATATTTAATAATGACAATAAGTGCCTTTGTACATTCTGTTTAATCCCAAAGGCTACAAAAAGCACTTAACCTATAAGAGGCAACCCATTTTATCCACCACCGAAGTGCAGGACCTGTTATTCACTAGCAAGCCCACCGCAAAGCAGATCAGGTATAGAAGTGAGAAATTACTTCACTAATTGAATTAAGGATGGACATTAAGGAGGACAGATTGTACAAGCCTAAAGCGTAATTTAGTCAGGTCATCAGGGTGAACACCGTTACTCTTAACAAATAGTGCCACAGGATCATTCATGTCTAGATAAGTCAGAACCTCAGTTTAATGTCTCATTCAAATGATGATACCTCCTAAAGCACTCCTTACCATACGGTGACATTGGATTAGAAATACTGGGTCAGAGAGAAGAGTGCCACCTACTGGTCCACCACATTATGTACAGTAAGCCACTACTGACTAGGCTCAGCCTTGCTTAGTTTCTGAAGAGATTAGGATTAAACAAAGTTGCAAGATAAAAGAAGGGTTGTGAAAGTAAGGACAAAATAGATAGGAAGAGAAAGGAATCTCCTAAACTATAAGGGAAAAAAAATATGTTTCTAAGAATTATCAAATGTCAAGCATCCACGAACAACAAACTAAAAAGGACATATTGTGGTGCCTGCATTCTCTCTAGATGTTAATGTCAAAATCTACCGCCTTTAATTCAGCATCTTTTTTGATCAGGGTGAAGAATGTAAGAAGACTTACTTTTGAAAAATATGTAAAGAAATCTGTTTAGCTGGGGATAATTCATGTACACCAATTGTTCTCATGTATATTTTCACATTGAGAGTTCCATTGGTAAGGTACTGTATAATGGATTTGATATGTGTGGCAGGGAGAGACATGTGGCAAGAACCTTAAATAACCAAGGCAAAAAATATCTTTAGCTTAGTTTCTGTTATACTGAGCATAGTTGCAGAAATAAGCTTAAATGTGTGATATAACAGGATGGATGTAACATTTTCCAAATACTTCTATATGTTTATGGAACTTTATAAGCAGTGACATATGAAATGTCAGTGTTTTCCTCTTTAAATTCAAACAAAGATTGCTAGATGTCAATCATTAAGGCATAACTGAATAAAAAGCATTATTTTCAAAGGCTGTTCTGGAAGGTCAGAATTTCTCAGAGTGCAGTCAGTGGCCCAAAACCAGTTTCTAAAATGATTTCATGAAAGGAAATTAGATTGGGAATTGTGTTGGTGCTACAGAGATGGTATATATTACTTGTTTACTGTAATACAGTACTGTATATATATTATGCAGCGACGACATCGACTTCGAGAACCAAGCCCTCGAAATGTACTCATTTTT